GGGGGGGGCGCAGAAAATGTTTGGAAACCACTGGGGGGGGGCGCAGAAGAAAAAGTTTGGGAACCACTGCCTTAAACTAATTATGGGAATATTTGCTTTGGATTAGACCATCTCCGTATCAATTTCCTGGAGTTATTGGCTGATTATCTGCTCGATTATTCTAATAAAGACATTCCAACAAAAATATTTTGTCTTTTTCTACACTGGTATCTTACAAGCAGTGACGTCAGACCACTTTTTTCAGTAACAAGTAATCTAACGCGTTACTATTTCAAGTCCAGTAGACAGACTGAAGTTACTTACCCAAATCACTTTGTGTCACCGTTTCTCTGCTGATCGCCGTGACAGAAATGTTAACAACGGAGGGAGGAGAGAGATGTGCGTTTCGTTGCTGGAAAACCAGGAACTATTTCAGTTTCTGTCGCCACGTCTGATTGTTATAAGCGGCTTTGGGATAGTTTTTTCTAAAGTTGCTTGCAAATTTAATGAGTCGCGGGTTGCATTTTTTGGGCTCGTTTCTGAAGGTGAAGTTGTTCATTTGGGCTCAGAAATGAGCAGAAACTCATAAACTCCAGAATGTGTCTGACATCCAGGTAGTTCCAGTCAGGCCTTCCAGGTCCATCATTTCCCGGTTGATCCTCCCGCTGCGTCTTTGTTAATGTCAAGTTAATATATTGAACGACGTTGTGTTTCGCTTCAACAAACTAATATGAAGAGAGCAATAAACGCGAAAACAGCCACAAAAGAACGAATCTAACTAAACGCCATTATATTAAGATAAGTGTTATGACTTATTGTTTTATTACAATCAGTCATAAAAACTTAATCTGAAGTGTTTCTGACATTTTAAAATTCACACAAGATCCTAGCTGAGTGATGACATCATCAGTACGCCCTCTTCTGATTGGAGGACTGCCGTTCATGCCAACAACTGCAGAACATTCTTGTGTTGAGTTGAACGTCCTCTGACTCCGTCTCCTCCTGTGCAGCTGGAGGCGGTGCTGCAGCAGCTGCGCTACGTGAGCAGAGAGGGCGGCGTGGCGCTGCGCCCCAACGCAGACCGCCTCCTGCTGGCCAGAGACGACATCACACGCACCTTCGTCCTGCTGGACCAGACCGTGTCCTGCTACAACCAGGTTCCTGCTGCTGCACCTCCTGCACCACAGGAGGAGATCAGTCATGTGACGCCCCGTTCTTCTTTCAGGTGGTGGGCGGGGCCATGGAGGCGGAGCTTCCTCTGATCCAGGAGCAGCTGCAGCAGCTGAATGACACTCTGAGTGAATTGCAGAGCAAGACGTGGATCTGTAAAGGTGCATAATGCTGCAGGTGGTGCTGCAGCAGCTGCCGCAGGTGGTGCTGCAGCTGCAGGTGCCATGAGCTCTGTGTGTGTCCAGGTGTGCAGCAGGAGAGCCAGCAGGCGTTGGCCGTTCATTCCAGCATCACAGAAGCTCGAGCCAACATGGACGCCATGAGAACCATTGCACAGGTGAGTTAAACAGACTGACATCACCCAGGTGAGCTAAGCCACACCCCTCTGCTATGAGCTGCTGTTCGTTCAGGGGTGGGCAGAGCTTGACCTTCTGCAGCGTTCAGGTGATTCTCTGCTGGAGAGCAGCGTTAACGATCAGATCTGCAGAGGCATCAAGACAGACGGGGAGCAGCTGCTCAGCCTGACACAGGTAGGATTGAACACCCTACGCTACGCTGCTCACGTAGGGGGGCGGGCGCTGATGAGGACGGCTCACCTGTTCTCAGGTAAATAGGCGTCTGTACAGCGCCGATGAGGCTTCTGAGGCCTGGACCGGTTACCTGGACTACATCGACGACCGAGTCCAGGACGGCCTGCTGCAGCTGCTGCACAGAGCCCTGCGCTTCCTGACCAACAGCATGAACACACAGGTACACACACACCTGGAAGTCACACACAGACCTGGAGGTGATTTCTGTAAAAGTACTGGTGCTTGTCTCTCTCAGCAGAGCGGTGGCGCCGCCCTGCTGGCCGTGTCTCTGCAGCTGCAGGACTCCAGAGGACTCGTGTTTGAACCGTCGATAGACGACGGCCCCGCCGCCTTCCTGAAAACCATCATCAGGGATGTTTACGGCGCCGGTGCTCTGGTTCCCAGGATCTCCGTTGGTCGCCATGGTGACTACCAGGTGAGTAGGCCATCTGTACGTCCGACACGGCCGGCGGCTCCAACGTCACTCAGCTCCTCACCTGTGTTACAGGAGAGCCTGCGGCAGAACCCAGAGCTGTGCGCTCTGGAACAAGAAGTGATGACGAGGCTGCTGCAGGTGAAGGAGGAGGCAGAGAAGCTGAGGGCGGGGCTGGACAGGTACGCTCACCTGTGGCTCAGTGACAAGCAGGCCGTGTTCCAGGAGTTCCTGGCCTATGGCAAGCCGCTGGCAGTCGGGGAGGTCGAGGCTGACAAGAACCCACCCAGCCTGAAGGACTTCCAGAGAGAGGTGGCACATCTGGACACACCTGGACACACCTAAACACACCTGGACACACCTAGACACACGTAAACACAACTAGACACACCTGGACACACCTAAACACACCTAGACACACCTAAACACACGTAGACACACCTGGACACACGTAGACACACCTGGTCACACCTGGACACACCTAAACACACCTAGACACACCTGGTCACACCTGGACACACCTAAACACACCTGGACACAACTAGACACACGTAAACAAAACTAGACACACCTGGACACACCTAAACACACCTGGACACACCTAGACACACATAAACACAACTAGACACACCTGGACACATCTAGACACACCTGGTCACACCTGGACACACATAAACACAACTAGACACACTTGGAC